AGCTGGGACCACAGGCGCCCGCTACCACACCCGGCTAGTTTTTTTGTATTTTTAGTAGAGACGGAGTTTCACCGTGTTGTACAGGATGGTCTTGATCTCCTGACCTTGTGATCCGCCCGCCTCGTATTTAGAAGATTTATAATTATTAATATATAGGATATGTTATATATGGTGTATATATGTTATATAGTATATACAATGCTATGAACTAAAAATAGATAATATCAAATGTAATTTGATAAAAACTTATCAAACTAATACACATTGGAGGGGGAGGATGTGTGCTAATTTCCTCAACTTTCATAGCAGACAGTTAATGAATAGATAAACAGAGAAAAAAAGGACTTAAGCATAGTATCTAATATAGTAAGTGTTCAGCCATCAAATAACTAAAGCCAGAAGCTGTTGTGGTTGACTTTGGATCATGAGCCTTGTGGGGAGAGGTGAGGGTAGGAAGGGAGTTTTTATTTTGTATCTTTTACGCTGTTTGGTTTTTCCTCACACATACTTCTAATTTAAAAAATAACTACAATAAATAAATAATTATACATCTATGTAACAGAAAACTCTGCAGCAGTTAAAAGTAATGGAGTAGATCTATTTGTTTTGACCCAGAAAGCTATCAATCATATAACCTATGTTAAAAAAGCAAGTTTTTAGAACAATACTTAAAACATCACATTTAACCGTGTTACAATAAGCAGCAAAACTGATAAGATGTTGTCCCTACCTTCAAGGAGATTTCTGACCATGCACCCACTTCTGTGTCTTCTGCCCTGGGCCATCTGGCCTGCTTGGGACCTCTTCCCTTTGTAAGATGCATGCCTCTTATTTGCTTGCTTGTTTGTTTTTTAGGGACAAGGGTCTCCCTCTGTCACCCAGGCTGGAGTACAATGGAACAATCATAGCTCACTGCAGCCTCAACCTACTGGCCTCCAGCAATCCTCCCTCCTCAGCCTCCTGAGTAGCTGGGACTACGGGTGTGCATCACCATGCCTGGCTAATTTTTTAAAATTAATACCTCTTTTTGCAGTGGCTAAAAACTATTTTGTACATATTTCAAGTAATAACTCTAAGTTCTTGACTATAAGTGCTCAGTCCAAAGTCTGGCCTGAATGAAGCTGCATAAGAGACGAACAGCTTTCTACACAAATATCTGGTGGAGGGAAGCAGAGAGGGGAGGGAGAATCCAAGGACTGCAGGATGTCAGGCCTGAAAGACTCTTCAGAGAGCCTGTAGTCCTCCTCCCTCGTTCACAGAGAAGGAACACTTGTGGGGCCCAGAGAGGGGCAGTGGCCAATAAAAGGTCATGTGGTTGAATGATGATGTCCAGAAAAGACAGAACTGGGCTTTGTGAACAGCCAGCACCAGGAAACAGTAGACAAGTTGAAGGCTGACCTGGGAGCCTGAAACCATGGCCTGCAGAGAACCCTACAGGAGGTTCAGAGGGGGCCCATTCAGGAGCTGCTCAGAATGCAGATGGCTTGACTTTGAGGGGAGGCCTGGACAAATCAGACCACATCGCCCTTCCCTAGTGTCCATGTAATGGGAAAGAAGAAGTTTTAATATAAGTAGAAGGGAGCGCTTTGGGGCTGACGGGGAGGGGCTTGCACAGGAACTGGCATTTTCTGAGCATTTCTGATGCACCAGACATTGTGTGAGGTGCCTTCTTGTGCATTCTCTCATTTAATCGGCACGGAAGCCCCATGAGGTAAATATGATGACCACAATTACAGAAAGACAATGATGGTAAGAAAACTTAAGTGCCTGGGCGCAGTGGCTCATGCCCGTAATCACAGCACTTTGGGAGGCCAAGGCAAGCAGATTACTTGGACTCAGGAGTTACAGACCGGGATGGAGAACATGGCAAAACACCATCTCCATAAAAAAAAAAAAAATCAATCCAGCGTGGAGGTGCGCACCTGTTGCCCCAGCTACTCAGGAGGCTGAGGCAGGAGGATCACTTGAGCCTGGGAGTGGAGGTTGCAGTGAGCCGAGACTGTGCCACGGCACTCCAGCCTGGGTGACAGAGTGAGACCCTGTCTCAAAAAAAAAAAAAAAAAAAAAAAAAGAAAGAAAGAAAAAAGAAAGAAAAAGAAAAGAAAACTTAAGTTACATAACTTGCCCCAAATCTCACAGCCAGCAAATGGCAGAGCTAGAATTGGAGTCTAGGTTGGTCTGGTTCCAAAGCCTAAGTTTCCTCAAGGAACCAGAGGGCTCCAATAACTCTGTGTTCACCAACTGGGAAAAGGAGAAATGTCTCTCCTAAATGGGGATACAACAAATGCTGTTCCCTTCCTGAACCCTGAGTATGGAATCGGCTCCTTTACCCTATCCATGACTATCCAGGTACACTGGCTGGCTCTTGAGAACTAGGGTTTATGTTTGCCCAACAGGACTTTGAAAATCCCCACCTCAGAGGATATCAGCATTTGGGACTCCCTTTCTCCCCAGCAGAGCTCCCACAGTGCCAGGCTCGGAAGAAGATGGGCTAGGACCTAGCGTGAGTGCAGGGAGGAGAAGGAGCTGGGGTCCAGGACTCTTGATTTCCAAGTTTTCGGTCCCGAATCTGTCCTGTACCAACTTCAAAGGCATATGACCTGCTCTTGCCACCCCTCAGACACCTGCCCCCAGCCTCCTCCTACGTCTCCCTAGTCACCTCTGCCGCCACTGAGCCCTGACTCTGGGAGAGGCAGGCAGGCCCAGGAGAGTATATATGTCAGTTAGGGTTTGTCGTTTACACGTGGAGATCATTAACGAGACTTATTTTTAAATTGTAATTGCAAAATGTAAATGCTCCCCAAACCGATGTGTAATTGCTACCCCCTCCACCCCAGCCCTTCCCCTCTGGTGCCAGCTTTGCAAGGAGAGAATTAGAAAATAAAAAGGGGGTGGATTATGTAAGCAAAACGATTTTAAAAAAAGAGAGCGAGAGAGCTAAGAATTTAAGTGAGACAGCTGGCAGCTTCTCTGATTGCCACACTTCCAGCATTAGCTGCAAAAATTGTCCTTGCCAGTTGCACCCATCCAAGCAATAGTGTCAACTGTATTTAGTCCCTAGAACAGACCATACTGTCACTCACTTGGCAAGACAGTTCAGTGGTTTGTGTGTGTGTGTGTGTGTGTGTGTGTGTGTGTGTGTCGGGAGTGAGAGGGCGAAGGTCAGGGGTGATATTTGAGATTGCCTCTACCCCATCTGTGGAAGCCTTCCATTCCACAGGAAGACATAATTCACAGCAGGATTAGCAGTCCATCAACCCTGTTACCCATATTCTACCCTGCAGGTGATGGCAAGAACACCTCCATTCTCCATTCTCCCAGGCTCACACTGTCTTCTTTGGGCTTCAGCATCCGCAGCCTCAGCCTGCAGAGAAATAGGACTCTACAGGAGGGTTCAGCAGGAAGAACCTCAGTTCTATTCTCAGTCCCAGAGAAAGCCACTGAACTTGGGCATCAACACACTTCATACGGATTCACCAGGTGTAGAACCCTTGTCCCTTTTTGTACCTTCTTCCCATCTTCTTCAAGCCCTGTCCACAGCTGCCGTCTGCAGTGAACTCCTCGTGATATCACTCTGCACATAGACTCCAAATGTTGTTGAAAAGGCTCAACTTGCCCCCGAAACAGGCGTCGCTCAACCCACACTCAGCAAAGTCTTGACCCGCTTAGATACCCTCCCCTCGGCTTCCACGGGGAGGAGCCACAGCTCTCCTATGCCGCGCACCCCTCGTTGACCTAGAACACAGAGCTCTCCAGACAGGAAGAAAGACAAGCATTGCTGCCAGTCTGTCCTCAGACATGTGGTCCTCTGAATAGACAAGCTGCCTGGGGAGCTGGGCAAAGGGACATTCATCTTTGTGGTTAACTCTCCCTTGTTCCCTCTCTCCAAGGAAACTAGCTTTGTGAGGAATTTAGCAATGATTTCTGCCACCGAAATGGAGACTGATGTAAGGTCATGGTGGCCCGAAGACATCAGGGAAATTTACAAAATCCTGGGCAAGGTCCTTTGGAGTTGGGGCCCAATCTCACCATAGCACATCCGGCCCTTATCATGGCATACTGGAAAGAGGAAAGGGTTGTTTTGGATAACTGCATTTCTAAATCTTAGCCTATATTGATACTTACATCTGTGAGATCATGAAGTTACTTAAGGGGATTAAAAAAAACCCTATCTGGCTGGGCGTGGTGGCTCACACCTGTAATCCCAGCACTTTGGGAGGCCAAGGCGGGCAGATCACGAGGTCAGGAGATGGAGACCATCCTGGCTAACATGGTGAAACCCCGTCTCTACTAAAAGTACAAAAAATTAGCTGGTGTGGTGGCGGGTGCCTGTAGTCCCAGCTACTCGGGAGGCTGAGGCGGGAGAATGGCGTGAACCCAGGAGGCGGAGCTTGCAGTGAGCCGAGATCAAAAAACAAAAAAAACAAACAAAAAAAACCCCTATCTGATAAGAGGATTAAATGAGATTCTCTATTCAAAATGCTTTATACATTCAAAAGAACTGTTTCTCTGAGTTCATCAGAAACACCTGGAATGTTTCAAAAAGACTTGGGGTGCAGGTTTCTGAGTCCTAATCCTGACTCAAAGCATCAGAAGCTCTGGCTTTAGGGTCCTGGAACTGCATTTTTAAGGACCCCCCCCTCCCCGCCACCAGGTCATTCATGGGTGATAATGTTTGCTCCGGAGGGTGGTACAAATGTGATCATCATCATGACACTAAGCAAGGCCCCACCCATCGGTATCAACAGCCATTTATTGTTCACAGAATACGTAGATGAAGAGACAGGAATAAGGCCCAGCCCTCCTCCTCAAGGAGCTAAGGAGGTGACATAAAGACCTGAGAATAATCATACAATGATTGGCTTTCAAGGTTGTTCATGTTAAGTGTCAGCTCATGTTCTCAGCTGGTTCTAGAGGCCTTCAGAAGGAAAGATAACCTTTCCTTGTTACATAAAGATAACATGTAACTATATGTTAAAGGACAGAAGAGCATTTCTTACTGTTCAGGTGATCCCAGGGGTCTCTGAGATGGTCCTCAGGAGAGTCACTCCCCTCTTTCTACTTCCAGCTGGGCCAGAATTTCTCCCTCTCTGCTAGAGCCAAAGCACCTGCAAAAAAGCGTAGAGCAGCTCTCAGCAGGGAAGGCAAGAATTGCAGGGGTGGTCAGAGAAGAGGGGCTCCCGGGCTCTGCTCTCCCCTTTCCAGGCCTCTTCAGGATGTCTTCTATTCTGTAACTTCCCCTGCAGCCGTTTCTCCTGTATTTGCCATTCAACTCTCTCTCAATGTGGTCACTGAGGCCCACGGAGTCACTGTAGCCAAGCCCTGGTCACTGTTGAACACGCCCTATTGTTGCCCATCTGGCTTCCTGACACCAGGAGTGCCTGTGGCTCTCTCCCCCAAGTGCGGGCAGGTGCCTGTGAGTGATTTCTGTGGTGCTGGGAAGACCACAGCTGACATCTTGTATTAAGGCTGTGGTGAAACTCAGAGGAAGGGGGCCCAGTGGTAGAGCTGTCAGGCGTGCGGATCCAAATGATAGCGGGCTTCGGTGGGATCCAGAGAGTCACTGAGGGTAAGGGTGGGTGGGGAGGTGTCCGGGGCAGCAGGGAGGAAGAGTCGGAGGGGAATGGACCCAAAGCAGCACTTAGCACTAAAGGACAACCTGTGACCTCAAGGTGGCTTTGGCTGCACAACTTATTTTTATTTTTCCATTAAAGCGAATTAATTTTGTCAATATTTGAAATGGACGACGATGTTGGTGAATGGAGGCTGGGTGGTCACTTCCATAAGGTCTGACCGGACACTTCTCAAACGGTCCCATCAATTTCTCCTTGTGGATGAGTTGCTAATTGGACTTCAGTGAGGCTGTGCTTGGAGTCAGGATGGTAGGGCGGGGGAGGGGGCTGCTCTGAGGCCTGGCTGCACTTTCAGAGCAGCATCGGGAGAACCGCTGGCGAGGAAGGCCAGCCCTATACCAGAGGTAAATGCATCTTTAACATTAACAGTTCCTTCCTAGTTAACATCATCTTACTCTCCCTGTAAAAACACATTTGCGCCTCAGTAAAGAATGTAATTAACTGGTGACATGACAACATGAGGAGCAAAACAGTGGCCCAGGCCGGGAGCTGCAAGGGGTGGTAGTGGTGGGGTGGTGGAAATTTAGATATTTGCCTGAACAAGACTTTCTCACCTCCCTTCTGGTGTGTGTCTGTGTGTGCATGTGTGCGCGTGTGTGCGTGTGTGTGTGCGTGTGCATGTGTGCGTGTGTGTGTGTGTGCGCGCGCACACGCACTGCTGGGAGGTGAGGGTGGCAGAGAGATAGCATCCGGGATCCTGAAGGAGGTTTGAATTCCTGGTGGCAGGAGAGAGGAAGTCGCGGGTGCCGGGAGGTGGGATGAGCTGAAGGAAGCAAGGATAAGCAGGGTGGTTTGTGAATTTCCATTAACAAAAGCTCTCTGGATTAAAACAAAAACCTCTCCCTTTCTTGCACCCCAGGCTCCTCCCAAGAGCAAATAAGGGACACCAGCCATTGCCTGCCCTGGGCAGCCCCTGGGAAGAGCCCAAAAGATCAGGACCAGCTCACAGGCATCATGGTCCAGTTACTCCTAGCTTGTTCCCTGCACCAGGCTTCTCCATGTGACCTTGTCTGTGAACTTTGTGACCGACTCCCAGCTCTGTGGCCACCCCAGCAGCAAACCTGGGCGATATGCCTGATTCCTCCCTCCTCCAAGCCTCATCTCCTTTTCACTCCTCCATCACTATCCCACTTCTCATCCTCTTCCAGGCAGGCCTGAAGATATCTTCTCTCCTTTCCATCCCCAGAGGCACAAGCTACAAAGGACCCTTCTCCCTGCCATGCTCCTCCTTCCCACCATCGGCCCCACAGAGCACCCTGCACTGCTGCTTCCAGGCAGAGCTACCGGGATAGGTGACTTCATTCATGCTCTTCAAGGTCTCATCCATGCCAGGCACTGCCGACACAGCGTGAGTGCCTCACACCTGTAATGGGCTTACAGCTGTGGCACCACCCCCGCTAGAAGTACAATGACGTCCTGCTCAGAGAAGGCCTTCAACACACGTCTGCTCATTGTCTAGAAAGCAGCTGGTCCCGACTGCCTTTCTAGACCCATCTTCCACCCTGCACCAGTGGCTCTCTACTCTCCAACCACTCACAACACCTGCCATTCTCCAAACCTGTCCACAACTTCCCACTCCCCTCAATGCCCGATTCTATATTTCTATCTGATCAGATATTTCTACCGGAACCATTCTTCATTGTTCACGCAAACATTCTGGCTGCTGCCTCCACAGCCAGAAGCAATTTTTCCTCCTCTGTGCTTCCAAATAACATGTTGATTGTCATTCTCTGAAGCCTCTAGTCACATCCTGTCTCATGCTATGGTTATCTTAGATATCTTTCATCTCCTTCCAAACTATAAGCTTCTCATGGGCAGAAGTCCTATCTTAAACCTGTATAATTTTTCAGTTCACAAAGTACTTTCACATGTAATATCTTCTTTAACTCTTAAAGCAAGACCTGTAAAAGTAGGTATTTTAAGATGACGATTGTGTTACCTTTAAAAAATAGCAAATGTTTCTTGTAAAAAATAGATAAATAAGAGGAAAAACGTTAAGTTACTAGCAATCCTACAATACAAATATAAGCTACAGTTAATATTTGGAGTAAAATGCTTCTTTTTTAAAAGCAGTATCATATTTTCATACTGTTCACTAAATCGCCTTTTATATTTAACAACATATCATAAACACCTTTTCATGTAGGAGGAAAATATAATTTTAATGATTATGGCATTCCATTTATGGGTATACTATAATTACTCAGACAAATTCTTCACATTTGTTGTTTAGATTATTTCCAGTTTTTGCTATTATAAACACGTAATGACTATTCTTGCAGCGGACTCTTACTCCAGACTTGATAATTTTCTTAGGATAAGTTTCTGGATGTGAAATTGCCAAGTCCAAAGGTGTGTTCATCTTAAGGGATTTTTACAAATTATTTGCAGGAAGGTCACACCCATTTACATCCGTCAGCAGCATATGAGAGGCGCCTTTCCCCTGCCAGGTAGTTGCTCTGGTTTTGTAGACGTGGAAAATGAGGCTTAGGAGAGTCAAGCCCAGGGCTTGCCTAAGAAAACAGCCAGCAAGTGGTGTATCTTCTGACTCCAGACATTTTGTTCTCCCAAGCTCTCTGCTTCTCTTTGCCCTTCTGTTTCTTACCAATCCAAAGAGAGTGCTTGCAGTAGTAAGTGCTAAATTAATGTTGCACTCACGGAAGGAGAGGCAGAGGTGGCTGTGCCCTGAGTGGCGGGGTGGGACAATCCTGGGAGCTTTGCTAACATCAGCCTTTTCCAGGTGTCTGAGGCTGACTTGGCAAATGACAGATCTGTTCTTCAGTAGCTTTTTACTACTCCCTCCTGCCCTTTTGTGGGAAGGTACAAATTGCTTCAATGTAGTCCCTATATATTAAGAATCTACCTTGTGCTGGTGCCTGGGCATCAAAGACAAAACACACACACTATCTGTCTCTCTCTGTCTCTCTTTCTCTCTCACTCACTCTCTCTCTTTCTCTCTCTCTCCCCTGCTCTCTCCCTGTCTTCTAGGTGCTTACAGTCTAGTGGGCAAAACAGAAGGTAAAGAAATAATTGTCACCTACAATGTGTGTGTGATGCTGCTTCTGACTGTCAGCTTCCGGATCCCACAGTGGCCGGAGCAGGGCTCAGGGCCAGGGTCAGGGTTGGGGAGGGGAGGAAGCCCTGCCTGACTCCAACCTCTGTCTCCTTCACTGTGTCCCTACTGGCGCTGGGGGTCCAGGGCTCCCTCTGACATCCTGCTGTAGCCACATGTTCCTTGTCTTTCTGCTCTAGCTGAGCCTCTGCTGTCCCCATCCCAAGACGACCCAGAGGAGCTAGAACTCTTCAGAGAGGAATCACTGCAATATTAGGGAAAGAAGCTGACCCTGCTCTCCACTCAGGGATTGATAAAACACATTTGAGAGAGGAAGGACTATCCAAGGGGACACCAGCACGCCCCCATGCAGGGCACCGCTTCAGGGCTACAATATACTTGGAATTCTCCTTCCCAGAACTGATAACTGCCAAGTTCTACTTGTTTCCCAACAGCCTACAGAAAGCTACAAGGCATAAATACAGTCTGTAAGCTCCTTCCTGTCACTGCCAGCGATTCCGCAAAGCACAAGGGGGACCACTCACATGACAGAAAGCCAGGCTGGCAGGGAGGAGGAGACCCTGATGGCTGCGGCCACCCTCCCAGCCTCCAACCTGCCTCTTGCCCTCCACATTTAAGCCATATGCCCCTTTCTAGATTGCAGGCAGAGGGACCCGACACTCCCCTTTTTGTCACCATGCAGAGCTCTTCCTCTCCGAAAGCTAAGAAGCAGCACAGCAGGCAGGGCCAAGCCGCAGATGCAGACAGGAAGTCAGAGAGAAATGGATGGATGGGAAGACATGGGGCTGTGTGACCCAGTGGCCCAGATGGTTTGGGGGACAAGAAAGGAAGCAAGAGCTTCAGATTGAAGATAAAGTTCCTCTGTCCTCACGACCTCCCCACCTCCAGTACTGTGGCTCCCACAGGCCTCTCTCTGCCTATCCAAGTTCATTCTACTGGACCCCTCTACAGACATGGGCTGGCTTCTCCACAGATCACCTCTGCCTGTTTTGCCAACTTGTGCTTAGGCTTTTTGCAGATAAGTTGGATAGGTGAAGACTGAGCCTCTGGAATCTGTGGCCAGAGACCCAAACCAAAGCTTCTTCCCTGTCCACTCTGGGAAGGTTACCCTACTCTGGTGTCTATCTCAGGAGCATAAAACGCCAAGGTTCTTGCCCCAGTTGGCCCAAGAGCCTAAAAAAGAATCTCTTCTCACTCTGGAGCCCACCGAGGGCCTCTTCTTCCATGAGTGCAGCGATGAAAGTGTGGTTTGCCTACACGGACACCCCAGCAATCCCTAATAGCTGATGTTTGTGAATCCTCAGGCTTCACCTCCCTGCTGGCGGGGGTGAGCCATGGAGGCGTGGCAGCCAGGACCAGCTTTGCCACACGTTTGCTCTGTGATGTTGGATGAAATATGCCA